TGCAATTCTACAGCTTTTAGAGATTTGTCTTAGTCGAAACGATTTCACATTTAATGGTAAAACATATTTACAAACTTCAGGGACAGCAATGGGCAAACGATTCGTCCCTTCGTACGCAAACCTTTTCATGGCAGAGTGGTAACGTGAGGTGTTGCCCCTCTGTCCACTTGACCCACTTTTTACGGACGCTTTTTGGATGACATTTTTATGGTTTGGACTTATTCTATCGAACAGTTTTGGGAATTCTTTGAAATTCTCAACAACCACCATCCTTCTATCAAACTAACCGCAAACGTGAGTGACAAAAGCATAGACTTTCTCGATACCACAGTCTTTAAGGGAGATTCCATAGCAGAAACAAATAAACTGGATATTAAAATGTATTTCAAAGAAACTGATACTCATCAACTCTTGCACAAGAGCTCCTTTCACCCAAAACATACCTTTTCTGGTATAATTAAGTCACAAGTTTTACGATTTCATCGAATTTGTACAAGATCTTCTGATTTCAACCAAGCCTGTACGATTGTTTTCTCAAAACCGAAAGAGCGTGGGTACTCTAAACGATTTTTACGAAACATAAAAAATTCCACCTTAGCACAGATAGCAGCTAAAAACAGACTTTATGCCGAAGTACCTCCAGGTTTAAGAAGTGCTCCATGTTTGTCCAGTAGATGCAAAACATGTCGCTTTATATCAGAAACTCATTATTTTGTAAGCAACTCTACGAATAAAAGATACCCGATCCAGGAACATCTAACATGTGAACATTCGAATGTAATATATTTAATTTCATGCAAGAAATGCCCCAAACAATATGTAGGAGAAACTAAGAATAATTTACGAACTCGCTTCAATGCTCATAGGTCAGACATCAAATTAAAGAAAGACAAGCCTGTTTCTAATCATTTCAACCTCGACGACCATTCAATAGACGATCTCACCCTAATCCCAATTGAGCGTATAGAAATTGACTTGCCCGAAGATGAAACTACCAAATTCCGTCAATCTAGGGAGGCCCATTGGATTGAGACATTGAATACAGCAAGACCTATAGGACTAAATATTCATCATAATGTAGGCATAGCACCCTTTGTTGTCCCGTTTAATACAACCAGCAATCGAGCAAGCAAGATAGTTCATGCCCACTATAAGATCCTTCAAGAGAAATTCCCCCATGTCTATAAGCAGAAAATGATAGTTGCATATTCAAAAAATAAGAACTTAAATGATAATATTGTTCATAGTAAACTAAAAACAATCAGTACATAACAGATACTATACTTCTCGCCCATCGGGCGAGTTATTTTTTCTAATTTCAGATCAGAATAAGAACAGAAGAAAGCCCAATATCAAGACCCTTAATCCTAATTTCTAAATAAAGTGTCTGCTCCACCCTAGGCCTGTACATTTGGGAGAATCAAACCCTCCCTTCCCCGAAATATAAACATGTAAAAACGATGAAAAATCCTGTTTAAAAGTCGGATTTATCAACAAAGAGTTATTACACTTCCAATAACCTGAGCCTTCAACAGAGATTTTTGAAAATTGACTGAAAAGGTAATACAGTCGTGGTCTGAAAAAGGAACAGGAATATTAAAGAAATCAGAAACAGAACTCTTTAAAACATCAGAAACGTAAAATCTGTCTAATCGGCAAGATACAGATGAACAGTGCCAAGTGGTGCTTATATTGTGAGGATAGATAATTCTAAACACATCAAACAGGGAAAAATCTTGGCAAAGACTTGAAAATTTCTTAGATGTGTCAGAACCTATATTCTTATTGCCACCTATCTTGTCTAAAGTAGTATCATGTACAAAGTTAAAATCACCACCAGTGATTAAAGGTTTAGATGTTAAAAAATAATGAGAAACATCATAAAAAAAAACATGCCTCTCAGCAGCATCATTAGGTGCATATATACAAATAACAATAAATTTATTTAATGTTTTATTGGAATCTTTGTTTAAAAGGATAGCACATCCTTTTGAAAACTGAGTTCCAAAGCTACAAACAAAATCGAAATTGTTTATATTGTTCTGTATCATCTTGCTTGAAGCACAATTAAAAATATGTGTTTCCTGCAAAAAGACAATGTCAAAATTATTTCTAAGCAGGTATTGCTTTATTATTATTATTATTAAGACACTTATAGAGCGCCATCTTTCACAATATGTGCTCAGATGCGCTGTACAATACAATTCATAAAGTATCAACATATTGGTAAAAAGAGCGCTCACCGATAGTTAAAAGTCTGGCTGATTTATGTACAAGTAAAAAGTTATCAGAAGATGAGCGGAGAGTGCGGCTTGGTGTATACATTTCTAATAGTGAAGATAAATAGTGAGGTGCAATATCGTTTAAACATTTAAAAGTTAAAAGGGCGATCTTGAATTGGATTCTAAAGATAATAGGTAGCCAGTGAAGGTCAATTAAAATTGGTGTAATGTGGTCGTGATATTTTTTGCCAGTGATGAGTCGTGCTGCTGCATTTTGAACTTTCTGTAGCTTGTTGGTTATGCGCATTACCGATTAATAATGAATTACAGTTGTCTAAACGGGAGGTGATCAATGCTTGTACTAGAGTTTTAACAGAGGAAGAGGGAATATTTTTACGGATTTTACTAATGTTACGGAGATTAAAAAAGCACAATTTACACACATTATTTACATGAGGTTCCAGGGTTAAATGCTGATCGAAAATAACTCCAATATTTCTAGCTGACGTGACAGGGGATATTACATGACTTCCTATCGATAAAGATACATTTTCATTAACTTTTGATAAAAGATTGCTCGATCCCAGTAGAATGTATTCAGTTTTATCATCATTTAATTTAAGGAAATTATTGTTCATCCATACACGGATATCTTCTATACAGCATTCAATCTTGGATTTACAAATGTTAAAACTATTATTTACAGAGGGTTTAAAAGATAAATATAACTGTGTGTCGTCTGCGTATAAATGAAAATCGAGACCATGTCTGTGAACTATATTAGATAGTGGAGTGGTGTACATACTAAATAAAATCGGTCCCCATTCTGACCCCTATGGCACACCATATTTCAAACATTTTGCATAGGAGGATTTATTGTTTACAATAACAGACTGTGAACGATTCGTTAAATATGATTTCAATAAATCTAAGGCTGAACCATTAATTTTGAAATCATTTGACAGACGGTAGAATAAAACATTGTGGTCAACAGTATCGAATGCTGCAGAAAGGTCAAGAAGCAGGAGTATTACACATTGTTTTTGGTCAATGGACAATAAAATATCGTTCTGAAATTTAAGTAGTGCTGTTTCTGTACTATGGTATTGCCGATATGCACTTTGATAATTACTTAAAAGATTGTTAGTAGATATATAATCGATAAGTTGAATTGAAATACATTTTTCAAGAACTTTAGAGACAAAACTAAGATTGGATACTGGCCTGTAATTCTTGTCTTGATCAGGATCAAGGGAAGATTTTTTAATTAAAGGAATAACATGGGCATGTTTATATATATCTGGAAAACATCCAGTATCAATGGAATTATTTATAATATCACAGATTGATGGAAGACATTCATTAAAATGAGTTGCCTTTAAATTGGCATCTCCGATGAGATATATATCATCTAATTTTGAGGAGCGTATTGAAGAACGCAGCACATCCCTGTCCAAAGTTTTGAATTTACGAAATGAAACCAGTTTCCTTTCACATTGAGACTTTCGTATGTTGAGATTAAAATTAACGGGAAAGTGATCAGATAGGAGTTTGTCATTGACGTCTATATTATTAATCAAGTGATCGCTTTCTCTAGTTATTATAATATCCAGTGTATGTCCTCTATCATGTGTAGGGTTGGTCACGTGTTGGGTTAGAGAATGTGTTTGAAGAACTTCGTGAAATCGAACAGTGAATGGGTTTTTGATATCGTCCACATGACAGTTAAAATCGCCGACTATGACCGGTTCAATGCGGCAACTGGCCAATTGATTTATCAAATCAGGAAATTCATCGATAAACTTTGATTGAAGTTTGTTGTCTGGGGGTCTATACAATACAATGACTCGAAACTTAGTGTCAAAAGAGTCAACAACACAATCCACATATTCAAATGATGAGTATGACGTTTGTTTACAGGTTTGAAACTTTAATGATGATTTGTGTATGAGAGCTACCCCACCACCACTGCGGGACAATCTTGGTTTATTCTGTATGGAATACCCAATGGGTATCAATGAAGAAAGAACCACTTCATCGTTGGCACCTAGCCAGGTTTCAGTGATGGCGAGTATATCAATATCATGTTCGCATATAAAATCGTTAAGTTCTATAGCCTTGTTTCTAACTGATCTGGCGTTCACTAACGTCATCTTCAAATTAGGAATAACCGTGGGCGGATCTTTTACATGAGTAAGATGCGAAAAATTATTGTGATTTACCGTATTATTAAGAAATTTTATGTCGTTTTCCGGTCGATCTGAAATCACTACTTGTATTCTTCTGATCCGATTTTTTCCAGAGGAGCAGCCCCTTCGAGTCTTTTTGCCTTTAATAATGTCAGATGTAGCATTTTGTAGAGAATTACACTCAGATTTAGTTAAAATGTTACTGTTGCTTTTTAATAAAAGCTGATCCCTGGTGTAAGTGAGTTGAGTGAACATAATGAGTAGAAAACACGGTGATAAAAATAGTAACAAATTTGACAGGTCAGTCAAAGTCATTGATTTCATGCTTCATCGGTCACTAATCAGTTCAATAAAATATTTCAACTAGCAAATAACTTCAAAATATACATAATTCTACCATTTAAGTCGCAAATATGGAATCTCCAATCCTTTAGCAAGACACTGGCACAACTTTTGATAACAAAAATACAGGATAAACAAATTAATTTTGACTAAACTTATCAGAGACACAGAGGGCAGCCATCAGCGCACCACTATCTCTGTTAGAATTAAAAGAAAAACTTTATTGGACGTTAAAAGTCCATTTACATTAATGGAACTTATTTTTATCATTATATGTACTATTGGAAACACCAATAACGAGTATAGAAAAATAAAGACAGAAACGTGAAACATAAAGTAAAAAATTATGTAGGAAGATCCTCCACAGAGGAGTCTTCACCAATATCTTCATCGTAGAGAAACGACCTGAAGTATCACCTCCATTTAATTCCCTTTTTAATTTGGCAATATCAGCCAAAGTACTAGAATGATCCATTTCCGGATCAGATTCAGAAATTTCACCCTCATCATCACCGGACTTCTCTACAAAGTCGTCTACCATCATATCACCAGAAAACTCTGGCAACACAACATCAGGTGTGATAACGTTAGATGTGACGGTGTCAACTAATGCAACATCAGTTTCACATCCCACAGCGACTTTAGAGACTTCTGTTGGTGAACTTTTAACCAACTCTACACTATTGGCACCAGCTGCCGCAGGTGCTAACATCTTTGACAAATGATTTACTTTCTTCTTTGGTGGAGAATTTAGAGGTTTCCTCCCCTCAGAAGATATTTGAACAATACGAGGATCTTCGGTACTGATCAACGAAACATTAGACTCAGACAGAGTCCTCTTCTTGGATGTGTTTTTTGGTTTAACAAAACCATCCTTGTCCACGCGAGTATCAAACAATTCGACGTGGATAGGTGGTAAAGGGGGGGAAAGCGATGAATTCTTCGCTAACAATTTCTTTACAGATGTTATTTGCCTAGAAGTGTTATAAGGAGGAGCCCGACTACCAGAGGCAACACCAGCATACGAAAGAGTGCCAGACTGTCTCGATAAAGGACATTCCTTTCTCATATGACCTGCTTGATAGCACTTTAAACATATGGGAGGCCTCCCCTGGAGGATCATCAACACATCCTTGCCACATATGGAGGACGTATGCGGCAAAGAATCAAAAGCAGAAGACCGACCTTCTACTAAAACCCGACGGGTTAATGTTCTTATATGTTTAATCCCGTCGGCAAGATGAAACTCTCTTTGAACTGAATTGACATTTAGCCCAAAAGACTTAAAAAAAGAAGTTTTATCTTTATCTGAAATATATTCTGGTAGCCAGAATAAACGAACAGTTAACCTGGAACGGTCACAGCCCGAAACAGTATAGATATTGTTTCCTATGTGTGCTGTGTTGTGACGGTTCACAAAAGACTCAGAAATTCCCTCATCATCAAAAGTGACTTGAAAAATTTTGTTAGAGCGGTCAGAGCCCATAGATACAATCCGCTGAGGATCAATATGATTCTTCTCCAAAAAGCGGACAAAATCATGGCCATATATAAATTGGTTCCCAGACGATTGAACCAATTGTAACGTCCGCCTTTGATTAATTGTTTTGGAATCCATCGCTAGATGAAAACAAAACAATAAAATTATAATGGAAAAAAGAATCTTCCTTAGTGGAAAGGAACCAGGAACAAACCTAAACCCACTCAAAATACATGATTACAAGAATCATGTTAAACCTTAAAAGGGCCTAAGATGGACTTAACGGGCCGTCGGAGCACAAGTGCCCGACCCTAACCACCGGAACAAGAAAGAAACCTACTGAAAAACTGTTTCTCTACTGCGGCTATATTGAGGTGTTCTCGCTGCGCATAATGCCGGATACTGATCCTCAATATTTGGAGAAAACCCAAGCGTAATAAGAACAGATACTACACTTTGATCTTAGCCAAAAGGCCGAGAAGCGATGCCCGCTTTCAGTCAGTTTGGGACCTCATATAAATTTGTACCTTTCCGCGATGGTCTCGACACAGTCGGTCTTTAAAAAAAAAGAAAAAAAAAAGGAAAATAAGGACATAGAAAAAAGATCTTCTCTGTGAACAGCGTTCGTTCGTTCTTTCTTTCTTTCTTTTGCACTCAGGCTACGCAAATGCCAGTGCAACCCATTTCGATACATTTAGCAGAGCATTACGTTCTATTAATGTTCTGGTTTGCACAAGCAGTGTGAGACGTAGGGCAAACGTCGATTTTCAGCCGAGCTGTGAGGCACACGCCAATTTCCCACTTCTGGAAGGTGTACGGCATATGCTAGTAGCAAGCTGGCATGGTAGTAAGGGGGAATTCTTTTCATTTGTATTATGAGGGTGGGCCACGCCTGGAAGTACTGCAATACCAGGGCAACCCGTGATGAGGGCGGAGCAAGCTCCGGGCACCTCATCTAGGTCCAAAAATCAGTTTAATATCGAAGTACCCCGATGGGGTACGTATCAGATATTAAGCTGATAAAAACAGATACTTTTTTTCATATATACAACAAATATTTACAATAAAAACACGCGAATGGAATACTGAAAAGGAAAAAGACAACATAAAACAAAGAAATTTTGGAGCTAATTACTTACTATGAAACTGAATGCGCTCCCACTTCCGAGACCCGACACTTCGGTCCTTTTACGAGTCTACTCAAGGGAAATGAGAACGCAGCCAGGTGCACAGTTTCATCGCTCAGAAGCCAATACAGAATTTTGAAATTTTACAAAATCAAAAATTAATTATGAAGTAAATAAAAGGAGCCAAAATGGATCACAGCACCTGAAATATAAAAAAATATAAAAATACAACATACAATAGAATTTTGAATTTTGATAACAAAATGCTAGCTGTGCAACCGGTTGCACTTCCAATTCCGAGACCCGACACTTTGGACCATTTACAGGTCTACTCAAGGGAATTGAAAGCGCAAGCGGGTACACAGTTTCATTAGCTAAAAAAAAAAAAAAAAAAAAAAAAAAAAAAGCCAAAATCAAATTTTTTAAAAATAAATATAGTTAAACAATCAATCAGGTAGATAGTCAAAGAGGTAAGTATTCCATAAACGATCAGGTAATGAAATAGGTAAGTATAATACCTATAATAATAATATAATAATAATAAGGGATTAGGCAAAAAGAAAAAGAAGTAATAAGTGAGTAATAATTAAAATTGAAAGTTTAAATTACCCCCTTCAAGCGTGCAAAAAGTGGCATCCAGGCACCATAAGGATCTAAAACCTGATTCAGGTAGACGACACTTGTCGGCTTTTATATGAAATTTTAAACGTGAAATAAACACATTTGTTATATCGTGAGAAAAAAACGCACTTATGTTCGAACTTCTTAATATTCCTGTAAAACGAAATGACATATTTAAATTCTGATAAAATGACAAGACAAATAGAGAGGACTTAAGAAGTTAGTTTGGGAAAATTTAAAAACCTAATCATTTCAAAAGTTAGAACAGAAATGGAACCAGAGCTAATTGTCTTCAGCCAGGTAGATATTTGACTTAGTAATGGTTGAAGTAGGGGACAAAGATAAAATAAATGTTGTATATTTTCAATTTCAGTATTACAGAGAATGCAAGTTTTATATTTTGAAAGATGTCTGTCGTAAAGGCGATCTGCAAGAGGAAGAGCATTGTGAATTAAACTGTAAGAAATAGTTTTAGTTATCGGATTTATATTTTTGTGATGTAAATTTTTATAACAGGCAGTGAAGTCAATGGTGGGATAATCTTTCAGAAAAGAAGGCACTGTAACGATTTCTAATAGAAAAGTTTGATATATACTTACAACAGATAATTTCTTAAAATCAATGTCTATTTGGTTCTTGTGGGAAATATCTAAAAACTCTATAAAATCAGTATATGCTATTTAATAAAACTGGGGTAAGTGGAAGCCATGTGGTTGGAGGTTTGAAAGTAGAGAAGAATTGTGCTTGCTTAACTGTAAGCCAAGCCAAAAACGAAACCAAGAAAAACATTTTGCATCAATGCCCTGAACTAAATGAAATACTCTGAGAGCTTTTAATTTGGAAGAAATGTGTATGATCCCTATGCCACCTAAGGACTTGTCAGAATATAAGATATTTCTTCGAATTGGTTCATTTTTTGAAGGCCATAAAAAGCTAAAACACAAACGTTGAATTTTGATAATGAATTGTTTTGGAGGAACGATAATTGAGCAAACATACCATAGCTTAGAAAGAGCAATAGTATTAAAAATCGTTGCTCTACCAAAAATTGACACGGAACGAGACTTAAATAGATTTTAAGAATTGTCAATTTTTTTATGTAAGGAATCCCAGAAATTATCATTATTACCAAAAGGAACCCCAACCAGCTTACCACCATCTATCCAGCTTATGCCGTGGTCAGACCGACTAGCCCATTTCCCAAAAAACATTCCTTTAGTCTTGGACAAACTAAGTTTTGCACCAGATGCCCTACCATAGAGTTCACACACATCAAAGACTCTGCGGATAGAAGCATCCGTGGTGCAAAAAACAGTCGTGTCATCGGCATAAACTGATAGCTTGGCAGAAACTGGCGGGGAACCCGGAATAGTGACACCCACTATGTCAGGATCTTTCCGTACACGGATTCAGAATGGCTCTAAAACTAAAATATATAGCAACGGTGAAAGGCAGCAACCCTGACGTACAGAACAGGTCACAGGAAAAGGCTTAGAAATATGTTGGTTGATAATCACCGAAGAAGAAATATTGAAATACAGAATTTGTATCCACTTCTGGAATTTTGGACCAAAATTATAGTTAAAAAGACAAGAGAATAAAAATTTATGAGACACCCTGTCGAAAGCTTTCTCCTGGTCCATCCAGACAAAAGCACAAGGCAAATTCCTCTCCCGAACATAGTCCACAACAGATCTTAAAAGATGGGCGTTATCTAAGATTGATCTGCCCGGGACCGCACAAGTCTGATCTAGGCCAACAATATTATCTAACACGCCACCCAAACGAGTAGACAAGACCTTCGAGATAATCTTATAATCCAAGTTCAGGAGAGAGATAGGTCGCCAATTCTTGACACTCTCGGGTTGAGAAGGCTTTTTACAAAGAAGAGTAATAAAAGACAAACTTTGGGAAGATGATAACAATTCAGAAGAAAATATAAGTTGATACAGACGGAAAAGTACATCACCGAGAATGTCAAAATTGGCAAGGTAAAATTCCTTAGTCAGTCCATCTGGACCAGGAGACTTCTCACTTTTCATGTTCTTTAGAGCAGAATGGATCTCCTCTTTGGATATATCTCCCTCAAGAGAATCTCTTATGGGGGTACTCAAAGAGGGCAGATCTGATAAAAAATCATCAAGGGGAAAATCTGCATCTTCCTTCTTAAAAAGTGACGAATAAAAGGATGTAAAAGCCTGCATGATCGTGCTGTTGGTAGTACACTGCCGATCACCATCCTGAATGAAAGTTATTGTCTTTTTGGCAGCACGATCATGCTCCTTTCTAAGGAAAAAACGGGATGGGTTTTCTCTGTTTTCAATGTCATCGAACCTTGACCGAATACGAGCACCGTTAATCCCCTCGTCCTCCACACTCCGAAGGTGGTTTCGAAGTTCAGACAGACGAGATGAACAACTACCGGGAGCAGCAAGCTCACGCTCAGCCAAGGCCTTATACTGCGATTTTAAGATAGATAATCCCCTTTGTTTCTTACTTCTTTCCCTTAATTGGAATTCCTTACAAAATATAGAAATATAAAATTTAAAAAGGTCCCAGTTTGACAAGGAGAGACCAACATCAGATATTAAATGTGAAAAGGCATTAGAAAGGGAGCGAAACTCTAGAATAAAACCTGAGGAGGTAACTCCTGAGTTATTACATTTCCAATAACCCTTACCAATAGAAATGTTCTGGTTGAGATTGATATTAAACGAAATTCCAAAGTGATCACTGAAAATTAAAGGATGAGTTTGAAAATGATGTGTGTTTAAAAGTGTACTAGATCTTATATAAAATCTGTCAAGCCTATAAGAGACTGACAAACTACTCCATGTTGGGAGTGATTTATTTGGATACTGAAATTTGAATACATCCTTTAAATCAAAATCGGTTAATATATTACGAAAAATAGCTGAAGTTGACGAAATTCGGTCTTTGTTTCCACCTTCCTTGTCTAAATCATTATCTAGAACAAAATTAAAATCCCCTCCAAGTACCAAAAGTCTCGAAGTAACAAAAAAATGTTCGAGACTGCGGATAAAAACATTCCTCTCCGACGGTATATTCGAACAGTAAACATTTATAAAAAGTATCGCACAATTATTTACAGTTGCGTCTAGAACATCCAAACCCCCATCAAGGTCAAAATAAAAATGATCAATACAGAATCCTATAGAAGGTTTTAACAAAATAGCTGTTCCAGAACTCCTATTGGAACCAAAAGACCAGAAACATTTATGTTGCAAGACTTGCTCAAAATACCTGGCTGTTCTAAGATTAGAGACGTGGGTCTCTTGTAAAAAGACTACATCGAAACGTTCTAAGAGTAAAAGATCATTTTGGCTAAGATCAAAGTGTAGTATCTGTTCTTACGCTAGGGTTTTACTCAAGTAATGAGGATTAGTATCCGGCATTAATGCGTAGCGAGAACGCCTCATTACAGCCACATAGAGAAACGACTTTGAGTAGTTTTCGTTAGCTGTTCCGGTGGTAAAGGTCGGGCACTTGTGCTCCGACGGCCCGCTAAGCCCACCCAAGGCCTGCTAAGGGTTACAGGGCTCTTGTAGCTCTGTTTTTTCTGTTCGGGTGTTAAATACTTCCAGTTACAGAGATAGGCTTTTCTGGTTACGGAAGTTTTTCTTTTTGTTCTAACTATGGATATCAAATCTAGTATCCAAGGTAGAACTATTCAATTTTCACAGACCACAGGGAATCAATTTGTCTACGGACATGACTTTGTTAAGGTTTTGGAAGAAAGTTATGTTGATCCCCAGAGGATTGTTTCTATGGGTTCTGGACGATCCAACAGAATATTCCAAGTTACTGTAAATGATGAAAAAGTATCAGAACGTTTTATAGATAGTCATCATACTGTGTCAATTGGGAAAAATGTTTATTCTGTTTCTGCTTGCAACAAATCGCGATTGATTGTTAGGTTGTTCTGGCTTCCTGAATATATATCGGATATTGATATATCTTCATTTTTCAAATCCTTTGGGTTGAGTGTCGCCTCTATACAGAGAGAGTTCCATCTAGCGGACGGGTTAAAGCATATAAGAACGTTAACTCGTCGTGTTTTGGTAGAAGGTCGCTCTTCGTCTTTTGACACTTTACCACATACATCATCAATATGTGGGAAAGAAACATTATTAATTTTGCAAGGAAGGCCACCAGTTTGTCTTAAATGTTATAAGGCGGGACACTTCAGGAAGGAATGTCCGTTAAGTAAACAACCTTCTTATGCCAATGCTCTTTTTTCGTCTGGTGCTGGTGCTAGTGCTGGTGTTGGTGCTCGTAAAGGTGCTTTTAGTAGTGTTGATTCGATTAAAGGAAGACCAGGTTTCGTACAAGCCTCAACTATTGTGTCTAAGCCTTCTAGACTGCCTCGTCCTGCTGTTTCTCCTCCTCCTCTCCCTACTCACGTCACGTTGTATGAGGATAGACTGGATGGTGATGGGTTTTATACACCCAAGAATAATGCCAAAAAGCTGACTTCATCAGAGTCAAATTTAGTGTCTGTTAATGTTGCGAACTCTTCTCATGAGGAAATTGTTTCCACAAAGAAATTTGCATTTCAACCTCTTACACCCCCAAATAGAAAAGATACAAATCTTCAATCCACAAAATTTGCTTGTGCGGCAGCTGGGGCTAATAGTGTTCGTCTGAAATCTGTGTTCGTCCGCGTCCAAATCTTCTGTAGGACGTGGCACTGATGATAGTAGTTCATCTGCTATTGATATTATTGCAGCTGATGCCATTTTAACACGATCATCTGTCGATATGCCGGTGGAGGTTTCCATGGTTGAAAAGTCTGATTCTGCTGGAATTTCCGATTTTGAATCGGAAATGGATCAGTCCGGGAGTCTGCAGGACATCGCAGATGTTGTAAAACTCAAAAGGGAATTATCTAGATGTCAATCCAGGTCAGGGCAATCATCTAATGATGAGGTTGATGTCAGTGAAGAATCCTCTGAGGAGGATCTTCCTATGTAATTTTTTGTACTTTATTGAATCCATGGATATTGTAATGGATGATATTAACCCTGTTGAAATGGTCAGTGATGTTATGGATAATTTAGCTGACACTGAAAAGCTAAATGATATCCTAAGTAGCATGACTCCTGGTCGGTCGACCGATGGGGAGGGGTTCGGATCGGCTGAAGAGTCTTTTGAAGACTCTCCGATTTGATTTCTTTTTTACTGGTTTTTGATAATGTACCTATATATACTTATCTGTAGATGACACTCAATGTTTCATCCATTAACACAAATGGTTTGTTAGGATTTAATAAAATCCATTATTTATATAACTTTTTAGCCCTTGAACGTTTCGATGTTGTTTCCCTACAAGAAACACACGTTTTTAATTTAAAAATTGGAAGAAAGTTTGAACATATTTTACAGCAGTATAAATCTTTTTGGTCCTTTGGGTCTAATTATAGCTCTGGTTCTGCCATCCTCTTAAAAACTCTTTAAGATATATAGTTCATCATTTTCATTTTGATTTAGAAGGCCGTTTTGTTTATATCGATGTTGATATAAATGACTGCCCATTACGTTTTATAAATATTTATTGTCCTAACAAACCATCTGATAGAAATGATTTTATTCGTCATCTTGAGAGTTATTTAGTCTCCTCAAGATGTATTATTTTAGGTGGTGATTTTAACTTTGTTCTAAATAGTGTTTTAGATAAAACTGGTGGTAATGTTGATAAAATATCGTCAAGTTCTTCCACTTTCAAGAACCTAATTTCACAGTTTAGTTTTAAAGATGTCTTCCGTTTTCATTTCCCTAATAAAGTTCTTGATACCTGGAGCAGCTCTTCGGTATCTTGTAGACTGGACAGATTTTATATACCATCTAATAAACTTTCTGGTACACATGATTTTCAAGTACAGCCTCTTATATTTTCTGATCACTCTTGTGTTTCTTTTAAATTGAGTTTAAATCCAACAGTTTCTATAGGTAGAGGTTACTGGAAGTGTAACAGCTCCAGTGTTATTTCCTCTGATTCACATTTCAATTTCGCTCTTTTTTAATTCATTTTCGTATCTAGTATCTGAAAAAGAACTTTCTTTGTTAAACTGGGATATTTTTAAAGGCTATATAAAAACATTTTGTAAGGAGTTTCAGAAAAGTTTAAACATACAGAGAAACGCAGATATATCTACATTAATACGAGAATATAGGGACTTGACTGAGCGGGAGATGCTCAACCCGGGCCTTTTCTCTGCTCGTGTCTCAGAGATAAAGCATCATCTTTGTTCTCTTGAGGACGAGAGAGTGGATGGTGCTCAGATCATGTCTAGATCTGCTGTTATTGAAAATAAAGAACGACCATCTAGTTTCTTTTTTAAAAAAGAGATGATCGTGCTGCCAAAAAAACAGTTACCTGTATTCAGGAAGGCGATAATTCTTTTACCACCAACAGCACGATCATGAAATCTTTTGTATCCTTTTATTCAAACCTGTTTCATAAGGAGGACATTGATCTTACGGAGGCTGGTCGCTTCCTGGCAGGTCTGCCCTCTCTCAGTGACTCTGTGAGAGATTCACTGGAGGGAGAGATATCCAGGAGTGAATTCTCTCAGCTCTTTCTTCCATGAAGAGTGAGAAGTCTCC